ATTCCCGAGTCCACACCGCTCCTGCTTAACAACCGCGCCCTATTCGGCCAGGTCGCCGAGGCCCTGCGACCGGGCGGCCAGCTGCGCGCCCAGGAAGGCGGATCCGCCGGCGCCTTGACCGAGGTCCAGGCCCTCACCAAGGAGGCCGTACTCAGTGGCCTGGTCGCCGATGCCTCGGGCGCGCTCGCCAAGCCCGACTACGGCGACGCCGGCGAGAGCGTGTCCCTGGGCCTGAAGTTTAGAAAGAACAAGAAGAGCGACGCCGGGCCTGCCGTCGGCGCCGCCACCGTCTCGCTGGGCGGCAAGCCCACGACCGTGTCGATGGCGCCCCCCGTGCAGAGCACCCCCGCCGGTGTGGGTTTCGTCAACCTCGACGACGACTTTGGCGATGACGACGACGACGATCTCATCGACGAGGATACTCTACTGACCGAGGAGGATCTGATGCGCCCTGTCAACATCCGTACGTCACTCGCGTCTCTCTACGTTTCATTCTTTCCACCTGTTAGTCCCTGCAAGAGAAATGACACAATCCACTGACACTACGCTGCAGCCCCCGAGTGTGCTCCCAAGGCCGGCAAGCGCCGCCGCGCCTGCAAGGACTGCAGCTGCGGTCTGGCGGAGAGGCTGGCGGCCGAGGACGCTGCGAAGCGCGCCGCCGCCGACGCCCAGCTCGGCGCCATCCAGAAGCAGGCCGCCAACGTCAAGCTGGCCGCTGACGATCTGGCCGAGGTTGACTTTACCGTCCAGGGCAAGGTCGGCAGCTGCGGCAACTGCGCCCTGGGCGACGCGTTCCGATGCGACGGATGGTGAGTTTTTTCTCCGCCCGTTGTTTAGGAGACATAAATCACTAACACGAGTCGCAGCCCCTATGTCGGTCTCCCTCCCTTCAAGCCGGGCGAGGAGGTTAGACTCCTCAACAACGAGATTCAACTGTAAGGCTGCTTTGCTTGCTTCGGGCCGCAGGTCAGCATCCCGCCGAGAGATGTTTGGGCGGCCCTTCGTGGCGTATTGGCTGGAATGCGGAAGGGACATTGGGCGTTGGGGATACAGTAGTATATGCATAGAAGCGTTTACGGGATACCAAATCAGTTGATTGTTGGGATGGACCAGAAGGGTCGAAAGACAAACCGGCGGTTTGAAGGGAACAAACAAAACCGGCATTGGCCTGTGGCGAAAGCATTGGTTGGATATGTAGACATGGCAGATGGGAACCCGCTCTCTCCAGCTACCTAGACAAAGTACCGAGTTCAGTCCAACTTTGTTCACTAGCAACATATTTCACCATTTAAAAACAATCCGACGCAGGCTCGAGATCAGTTGAAAGATTGCCTCGTATTTGCCTATACTATACTGCTATAGCTCCCACAGGGGTCGATCTGTTGAGACGACAAAATCTGGACGCCTCCCCTAGGCTAGAAAC